GCTCCCAATGTCCCCCTCACTGCCCTCCCCACTGCAAGTCATCCCCAGCACCTGGGACCTTCCACCCAACCCCAGAGCACTGGGAGCCCCCAGACCACCCTACAGTGTGCCTGGTATTCCCAGTGCCCCCCTGGAATGCCTTCCCATGTGCCAGGTATCCCCTGTCTCTTCCCCCTCCTGCCCTTTGCAGTGCCTGGCATCTGCCCCGCCATTCCTGGGCCTCTGGACGCCCCTCCGAGCGTGCGGGACCCCCCCCGGGATCCAGCTCTGTCTGGGATCCCCACTCCCCAGCGCTGCGACGCGCCCAGGCCCTGACATTGCCCTGATCCCTGCAGCCGGGCACCCCCACCCCTTCACGTGTGCCCCYCCGCGTCGCCCCAGCGCCCCGGCCGGAGCAGAGAGACGCGCAGGCACCGCTCGGCTTTGCTCTTTCTTTGCTTTCCCTCCGGCGCAGAGGGGCTCCGCGCGGYGCTGCCCGCCGCCCTCCCGCGCTCCTGCCCCACGGAGGCCTGACCCAGCCCCACGGCGCGGCGGCGGGGGCACCCGGCCACCCCCCCTTCCCTGGGCAGGGGCCACCCCAAGAGATATAAATTAAATAAATAAAGCCGGGAAGGGGGGAGAATGGGGGTGAGGAGCCACCCTGGGGCAGCCGGGGGAAGCCACGGTCCCGGGGGACAGCACCGGGCCCCCCCTCTGCCTGCTGGCCCCGCCCCTCAAGACAGGCTCCTCCCCCTCCTACAAGCCCCACCCCTTTCCCGAGGCTCTGCCTCCTGGAGCCACCTCCCCCTCCATCCTGTGCCCGAGCAGAATCTGCTCCCCTTCATATATATATATATGTACATATATGTGAATATATATGTATATATATGTATACATACACACACACAGGGCTCCCCCACCCTGCCACGGCCACCTGGAGACGCGGCCCGGGGGGGTTCCCAAATGTCCAGGTTCATAGGGGTGCCTTGCAGTGGCGGCGGGAGCCGAGAGCTGCTGGGGTTCCTCCTGCCCCCCACGGGGGTCCTATACAACACCACAGGGGAGGGAGGCACCGGGGACAGGACCTGGAGCACCCCCACTCGCCCGCCACGTGGGGGCTGCACCCACTTCAGGGGTGCCCAAGTCAGGGTGTCCTCGTTGGGGGGGGTCCACGTCTAGACGGGTGCATCCTGGTGTGAGGCTGCGCCTGGGGGGGCAGGCTCCCCGCRCGGGGCGCTCCGTCCCCGCGCCAGGCTAAGCCCGGAGCGGGCGTCCGCCCTCACACRCGTCCATCCCCGCGCGGCGCCCGTCCCCGGCGCTACTTGTCGGTGAGCGAGAGGCGGAGGATGCGCTGCAGCTCCTCGTCCTCCTCGCGCCGGCGCCGCTCCCGCTCCTCCTGCTCCCGCTCCGAGAGCGCCATGGCGAGGCGCAGCTGCTCGGCGAAGCTGCCGTAGGCGGGCGCCGGGGGGCTGCCCCCCGCCTGGGGGGCGCCCGCCGCCTCGGGGGCACCGCTCGGCCCGGCCTGCAGCAGCATGCTCTCCTGGAGCGCCCTGTGGGGCACAGCAAGCCCCGCCTTCGCTCGCGGTGGCCACGCCCCCTCACACAGAGGCCACGCCCCCTCATACGGAGACCACGCCCGCACGCCCCRCCCTCCACACTACCCAAGCCCAGAACGACCCTCCCTTTAGCCCCACCTCCTGCCCCTGAAGCTCCACCCACTGAGGTGCCCGCGAGGCCCCGCCTCCCGTGGAGGAGGGGCGTGGCCTCCACAAGCCCCTCCCCACGGGGAGGGGGCGTGGCCTCACCGCCCCACCCACTGAAGTGCCCCCGAGGCCCCGCCTCCCGTGGAGGAGGGGCGTGACCTCCACAAGCCCCTCCCCACGGGGAGGGGGCGTGGCCTCACCGCCCCACCCACTGAAGTGCCCCCGAGGCCCCGCCTCCCGTGGAGGATGGGCGTGGCTTACACAAGCCCCTCCCCGCGGGGAGGGGGCGTGGCCTCACCGCTCCAGCTGCAGGTCCTCGTCATAAGGGGGCGGGTTGGCGCCGGGGCGCGTGTTGGTCAGGGCTTCCCAAATGGTGACCTGTGGGCGGGGCGCGGCCGTGAGGGGCGTGGCCATTTAAGGGGCGTGGCCATGCCGGGGGCGGGGCTATACAGGGGGCGGGGCGCCTCGCACCTGGTCGGTCTCGGTGCCGGCGTCCAGGAGGCTCTGCTGGATGGCGAACTGGAGCAGGTCGTCGTCCTCGTCGCGCAGCGGCTCGCTGCGCCCCGCGCCCAGCACCGTGTAGCCCTGCGGCACCTCGAACACGGCCGGCTCCACCTCGCACGGGAAGGGCCAGCCCGCGGCGGCGCCGGGCTCGTGGCGGGGCTCCCGCGGGGCGCACACCCGCACCGAGCCCAGCGGCTGCTCGCACCCGCACAGGTTGCTGAACGTGATGCGGGCGTTGAGCACGTGGAAGAGCGGGATCTCTGCGGGGCGTGGCAGGTCAGCGGGACCCGCCCCTTTTCCCAAAGGCCACGCCTCYGTTCCCTTCAGGCCCCGCCCCTCAGGCTTGGCTCCTCCCCCCAAGTGCCGTCCTCACCGATCTTGACGGGGAAGCCGGGCGGGAGGCGCAGCGTGATGAAGTCGCGCAGCTTGGCGAAGTGCGCGTTGGAGATGGCCATGAGGTCGATGATGGGCGTCACCTGCTCCGCCAGCGACAGCGGGTGCTGCTCGCACAGCCACAGCGTCGCCTTGAACCTGCCCACGGCACCGGCGTGGGCACGGGGCGCCCGGCGCTGGCCCCGGCACCCCGAGGTGCCCGCGGGGCGCAGCGCTCACCTCTGCACCTTGCTGGACATCTCGATGGGGCGCCCGATGTTGCGCGCCTCCAGGTCGAAGTGCGGGTCGAAGTACTCCTCGGGGGTGATGGCCGTGGGGTTCGTGGGGCTGGCGGCCTGCAGCACGGGCGCCTGCAGGGCGCGTGGTCCGTGGGTGCCCCCAGGGGACCCTGCGGGGACCCACCCCCCTCCTGCCCTGCGGCACCCTCCTGGTGTACGCGGCGCCGGGTCGCTCACCCCGTTGTGGGTGCCGTGCTGCTGTGCGATGCCCAGGAAGGAGTGGAAGGGGGTCTTGGAGCCTGCTGGGGGCAAGAGAGCGGGAGATA